TGTAAATTACAGCGAGAATCAAACGAAGTATCTGTCACAAATGTCCTACATCTCGGCTCCTACAACATAATGAAGATAGAACGTCTCACGTGTCTCGTTGGAAATAATATCACATAAGTGCAGTAACATCTAATAAACGATTTACTTGCCTTGGACGTTTATAGCATTGAAGTCTCATTAATATATACGACATAAACCAGAACTATATTGACTCAAACCAATAAAACTTACAGCAGTGTACAAATTTAATATAGAATTAAAGTTGTGTATACGGTGTCCTGTCTTTAAAAGCTGTTTGAAGATATAAGTCCCTTCAAACTGAAATCAAAGAGGTAAGTTAAAAAAGCGACCAGTTCAAAACTTATCTTTGCAATTTATTGTATTGTCTTTACACAGTATTACTATGCATCTGTATGTTTCTTCGTCGCCATCAATTGATATTTTTATTACGTTCATAAATAATTCATAGTAGGTCTGATAAATCTAATTAACAATATGTCTGGCGCTTGTCGCTTCTACCGATGTCACATACAAATATTAAAATGAACTGATTAATCTGTTTTAAAAGAAAAACTTTTTTTATAACTGAAAAAATAAACTACAATTCTCGCTTAACCTCTATTACTTCTCTTAATTTTCATGTCTTAAGAAGAATTATTAGTTTGACTGATTTATCCTTCATATAGTTTCATGGCGATAAATAATGTTGTTCCTATGTCCACAATGCATCACCATGATGTACTTATTGTAATTTTACAATAATATTAAGTCAAGATTATTTGTACAAGCATTCTTTACCATTCTTACATAAACCTAATCATTCACTGGCTTATATGACAAAAGTCGAACCCTATTTGATCTATCCCTCAAAGGCAGGGCCGGGTTATGTCTGTCGGGGCCCCTAGGGAATGCACATCCAGGGCCCCCTACCCTCTTCTAATTTTTTCGTTAACACAACAAAATTCAAAATTACACCGTTTTTTACTAACCTGGGTATATCATCATATTATTCAATAAAAATGTTGAATCAAATGAACAGAATGTTTATTTATGCATTTAAAAAAAAAAACATACATAGCTTAAATATTAACTCTTCTAACTTTTTTTGATACAAAATCGTTCAAGATATCCTGAAAGGTAATCTTCTCCAACACGTCATTTTCAATTGCCATTATAGCCAATGAATTTAAACGGTTTTGAGACGTCGTTGAACGAAGACAGTTTTTAATTAATTTTTTAAATTAAAATTGCTTGCAATTATATTACTGCGTTATAAGCTTTTAAACTATAATAATAATATCTAATAAGGAATGCGTTCCGAAATGTACTAAAATAGCGTCGATGTAATGTACAGAGCAAATTTTCAAATTAATTTTTTACTGTTTAAGAAACATTGCCCATTCTTTTCCCTGTAGCACAGGGGCCCCTGAACGTGGCAGGGCCCCTAGGCAGTTGCCTATAATGCCTAATGGATAAAACGGCCCTGCTCATAGGGTAAGTCAAGAAATCAATCCAATTACTCGCCTCAAGCGATTTTTATGCCAATAAGGTGGCAAACAAATAAACGGCTCGTCTGGTGGTAAATGCTTATCGTCCTTCATGGACATCTGCAACATACGGGGAACATATAACATAACTAAAGATACGTTGCCTGTTTTGAATCACCTCCTGTGTCGAAATAGTCATGAGGCAAAATATAAGTCATATATGTATTTTGGACCAAGCAAAAGAAATACACTATATTAGGAAAATTTTAAGTTAAAGTGTAAGTGTAGAAAGAAAAATCAGCAGTTAAATGAAACTAATATTTACGGATTATTACGAACATCTCGTTTGCCCATGATCACATCTGCTGCAAAGTAACCGAAACGTGTGTAGTATGTAATTTTAAAATGATAAAATACGCGTAGTAATCCGAAAAATATTACTTTCATTGAAATAAATATTAGCGACAGTCTTTGATCTCAGCAGTTAGCCTAGTCATCGCTGAAGCTCTAGTTTGAATCTGGTACAAAGCTCTTATTTGGATGCTAATTATTAAAATTTGACATATTAATTATATCTCTTCGGACAGTCTAAATTCTAGGTAAAGTATAAAATTCAAAAGTTAGACGGATCAGACTCGGACCTCATACTTATTAATGAGACTTGAGTCTAAAACATAAACCTTTTCACGCACGTTAAGAAATGGCTGCAACATATTAAGATTTAAATATCAGGAATATTGAAAAGTCAAATATAAAAGTTTACAAAATAATGTAGTGATATATTATATATTGTCAGCTGATCCTAATGTTAATGACATCATCACATCGCTGTATGTAGGTTAACGATGCAGACTCCCACTAATCTGATCAGAGGCTGATTAACCATCTCTCGACCATCTCGTGACTACTGAACTCATTTTATACTGTTTTCCGAATATAAGTCTCACTTCACACACACACACACACACACACACACACACACACACACACACACACACGCACACACACACACACACACACACACACACGCACACGCACACGCACACGCACACACATGCACATCATCAAACTATCAGAAAAATTCCTTTAATAATTACTTTAATGAAGACAAAGTTTGAGCTGTATAACTCGATTTGATCGAGAGAATAACAAAAAATCTCATATTTTTCTGATGCTGTTACAGATTACGTAAGAAAACACTGTTTTTTGTCTACATCTTATCTTTCATATATTGGGATAAATAAAACAAAATTTTGTTGATTATAATATCACAGAACTTTTTTTGACCACATCTATACACTGTAGTACTTAAGACTAATGTTTGTTTTCGCTGTGCTTAGTCCAAGCTAACATCTTCACACTGCGTACAGAGCGTTTCCAGTTTTTAATTCATAAACCTTCACATCGTATGGTTTTTTTTTTATTACAGCTCCCTCGACTTGGTCAGAGACCTTGTTTACAATTGTTTTAAAACCTTCCATACAAGTTCTCGCTCACACGATGGCCTTCCATTCTTCATACTGGTTCTTTCTTTCATCCATCCCTTTCATACCTCTGACCAGTGTGCCTACTATCTATCTATATCTTAATCTATTTGTTGTAGGTGGTGGGGGAGTTGTCACAATCATTCTTTATTAATTCAAACATTACAATTTACAATAGTTTTAAATTTAAATTTAAAAACATGACATAATATAATATAATTCACTAAAATTGTATACAATAAAACTTAAACGGTTGGAATACATTAATATAATTACAATAAAATCTTAAAACTAGTATAATTAATAATTAGTTAAAATCTTGAGGACATTGAGCAATAAATAAATAAAATGCCAATAAATAAATAAAATTTCAATATAATAATAAATAAAATGTTAAAATATTAAAAAAAAATGTTAAAAATATTAAACTGTTAAAAAACGGTGCAATCACCCCCTTGTTTTATTTCTCTGGTTAGCGATCTTAACCATTTTCATGCAGAACCGTTCTAGGTGCGGCCTGGAGTGCTCATCTGCGATTAGTTTCGCAATATTTTGCTCGTTTACTAAAATTCCAGTACTTAATTCCAGGTCGCACCTATCGCGGTCATGCACAGGACATTCAAACAGGAGGTGTTGCACCGTTTCGGCCACCTCAGGATCGCACACACACGATGGACTGTTTTTGAGCTTGAATCTAAAAAGATACGATGCGAATCCTCCATGCCCCGTCAGCACTTGCGCCCACCCTGACGTCTTGTCGAGGCACCTCGTCGTCCGATAAGCGCACCATGCATCAGGGAAGAACATGCGTGTAACCTCCGCCGCAGCTCCTTCGGTGTACCTCCTGTTCCAGCGCCGAACCGCGCCCTCTCTCAGTCGTCGTTTGACATGTGAGATCGGACACCTGTCATAAGCTGGGGCAACCCTCGACTTGGCCGCCAGCCTAGCCAACTCGTCGGTGCGCTCGTTGCCGGGTATCCCGACGTGAGCCTTCACCCAACAGAACCGGAGAGTTTTACCTCTCCCCTGCAACTCCCTGATATTCCGCCGAATATGGGTAGCGAGGGGATGGTGCGTATCCGGGTTACGGATCAAATCGAGTGAGGAACGGGAGTCGCTTAGCACCGCCGCATCCACATCGTATGGTTAGGCAAAGAGAGGTGCTTGGACAGTGGAGGTGAGCGTTTAACGCGAGTTAGATAGGTGCCCCTTAAACCTACACCTGGGTCACAAGTCCCAGGCACTGTTGAAGCTCCTCTCACTACAACAATGGACCCGACACAATACATTGAATGATGAGAGTTTTCGTTTCGTCTCTTGAAATTGGTCATAAACGAGAAACGCTTCCTATGTACTGAGATTGCACTAACTTGGCCTAAGCATAATGATAATCACAATTAAATATATTTGCAAGTGGTATTCACCTTAATAGGTAATTTATTTAGTTTTAAGTTGTATAAAAATTGTATATAGTCCGTTAGACTTAAGCTGAGCTTTGCATTTGTGTGAGTGAAAGTAAAAGTACAGTTAGACAAAAACCTTTTAGAATTCAATTTCATTATCTTTTTTAAAGATACATAACATAAGCGCTATAAAATAAGCAAAACTTGTAAAATGCCAAATGGAAATATTATGAATATTAAGGAAAACATTATAGGTTAATAAAAATTATACAAATTTTTATTCATTTGACATTGCGTTTTCAACATTTGATTTTGCTATCAGTACCAAGGGTGAAGTGCGGAAGGTGCGGGGCGGAGTAAAAGCAGTACAAACCAATTTAAAACTAGAAAAGAACGTGGAATTCAAAATTTTGACATCACACCTACACTATCCGTGTGCACTCACACAAATGCAAAGCTTAGATTAAATCAAACGCACTATACCTTTGTATGTATTGATGTATTTACCAATAAAATAAAAATAAATAAACATCAAATCATAATCCAACAATACATAACACGTTATATTCATATGTTATAGCATAATCTTCATCTTCCATCACAATAATTGTTCCAAACAGCCAGATCTACACTCCAGTTGGTGGTTTCAACAAGTTCAAGTCATTCCCTCTATAAGCATATGCTTTGAAATCACATATTTTCTTTCCGTCCTTGTACAAATATATTTTCAGGCATGTATCACAGAAGAATGCCGGGTCGAAGGGCACTTTTTCACAGCCGGTGACTATCCATTTGGCGCCGAACTCAGCGCATGTGGTACAGTAAATGGTTTGGTTTTGAGACACGGCCGTGGAATAAGGGTAGTAGACTAGACGCTGAGGGTCGCTCGGGTTGAGGAGGCGGACTTCAGAAAACGTGAACAGATGCTCACAGTTACCTTGATGAAAATACACCTGGAAATATAGTTAAGAAGATACGGTTAAGAAGGTATCAAGAAATACTACGAGGGGAGGTCAAAAAGTTCGCGGAATGGAGGGGATGAAGGGGGTTGATTTACTCGTCCAGGTAGTAACTTGTTCAACACCTCATTAATAGTATATATACCAAGTTTGAACCAAATCGGGTCATTAACTTTTGAGTTATTAACCTGCAAACGAGTGAATCGGGAAGAAGTCAGTGAGTATGGAGAAAATTGAACACCGCGCCGTTATTAAGTTCCTCACCAAGCAAGGAAAATCCGCTCAGACGATTTTTGAAGAGCTGTTATTAGTTTACGCGGACTCTGCCCCTGGTAAAACCATGGTTTACAAGTGGCATGGACTTTTTAAACAAGGAAGAGAGTCCATTGAAGATGACCCCCGCTCCGGACGACCGATTGAGGCCACCACACCGGAAATCGTCGCAAAAGTAGAAAAACTTATATTGGAGGATGCCCGGTTGAAGAAGAAACAAATTGCAGCAATGGTTGGAGTATCCGAAACCAGCATTTTAAATATCCTACATCATCATCTTGGGATGACTAAGGTCAGTGCAAGATGGGTTCCAAGAATGCTCACGCCACTTCAAAAGAGCGAGCGTGTCGAGTGTTCTCGCCAGTTTTTGAAGCTCTGTGGGGAGAATAAGGATGAAGTTATGGACCGGATTGTTACTGGTGATGAAACCTGGGTTCACCACTATGAACCTGAATCGAAGCGAGAATCGATACATTGGCATAAAAAAGGCACAGCTCCTCCCAAGTAGTTTAAAGTGTCACAATCGGCCGGAAAGATCATGGCGACTGTCCTTTGGGATACAGAAGGTATTTTGCTGACCAATTATAAAGATCGTAGTGTGACTATAACGGGACAGTACTACGCTTCTTTATTAGATAGATTGAAAGAAGCTATCAAGGAAAAAAGAAGAGGAAAGCTGTCAAAAGGTGTGCTCCTTTTGCACGACAACGCAACAGTCCACACGTGCCATGTTGCGACGGCTGCCATTTACCGATGCGGATTCGAAAAATTACACCACCCACCATACAGTCTAGACTTAGTCCCCAGCGACTATTATTTGTTTTCAAAAATGAAAAAAAAGCTGCGTGGAAAAAAATTTGAGAAGTCAAGTCCGCAATTTCGGCCTATTTTGATAGCCAAGATAAATAATTTTTTTCGATGGTATTAATAAATTATTTGTGAGATCCGAAAAATGTATTAAGGTTAAGGGAGGTTATATTGAAAATGAAAAATAGTTTCGTGTTAAATTTCAACCCCCTTCCCGTTCATTCCGCGAACTTATTGACCTCCCCTCGTACTTATTAAAATTGAACTTATATTTTTCAGATGTACTACATATGCGAATTTATTTCTGATAAAAAACTACATACTCCCGAGGTTTCGCTTACTTTTCAGTACAGACGAGATGTGAGTGTCTGTTACTATAAGAAATACTACTATCTTATTATAAGATGGTATTAGCTTCCAGTGTGATTAAAATTAAAAAGTCTTAGAAGGACAATTTGACGGTAAATTTCTGCTAGAAAATCTCCTAATAATATTCTTGATACACAACAAAAATATGCTCTGTAATTTCATTAATTTGCTGAAAAATAACCGGGAATATGTGATTTTGACCATAATTAAATAGGCATAGTTTAATCTAAAAAATATTGATTTCATTTAAAAGTAATTATATAATTCAATTATACAGTGTACTATATACTCAGGCCATGTTCCCTAACAAAACTATATCCCTACAACTCCTCCCTATTATCCCCCCTTTATTTATTTATTTATTTATTCATGTACCAAAAGCAAGTAACACAGAAAAAAAAAGAATAACAAAGAAACAAAGTGATACATACAAGCTTACCTCTATGAGAGATCTCTTCCAGCCACCCTGGAGTGTGAGTAATATTATTTTAAATTACAGGTAAGGTAGGTACATTTACCTCGGGATGTCCAAGTTTCACTTCCAGTTCATCGAGCCGTACATCCATGTGAGTGTGTTCAAACTCCCCGAGCCCTCTTGAAGAGGCCCAAAGCCTCAGCGGCTCGGACAAGTCGCGACACCCGGGCCTCGTGTCTACATAGAACTTATTATTGATGAACAAGAAGTTAGACGGGAATAGATCCTGGAAAGATAGTTTGTTGTATTGAGTATACATTATTAAGAGGATTAATATTAGTAAAACTTTTGTAAGATAATCAAGTTTCCCAAAATAACTGAAATCTCAAGTTAGTCACATTACTCAATAATTAAATTTAAAATTAATTTCTAATCTCAGTGTTATATATTAGTTATGCTTGCTTGATATTGTTAAAATAATATGATGTCAAGTTATGTAGGTAAATTAGTTTATTATATTAGTTTTGCTACTAAACACAATACATTGACAATTTTAATATAGTTTTATTGAATCCTACACTCACCCTTGCTGAACTAGTTGGTAGTTCATCCGGCTGATCAGACACATCCACTCTCATCCCTACATCATTGGCACAAACGATTCTGTCTCTTAAGACCGTCAACTTCTGCCTCCCCAACATTATCATGTCATTACTGAACAATGAGTGACGGGAATACTTCTTCTCCTTCAACAAAGATATATATATATATATGAATAACTCTAACATATAAGCAATACACAATAAAAATAAATATAATAACAAAACTAGGGGACCAAAAATTAGGATAATATTAATATTTATACAATTTAATGCAAATGAATAATATAATTTCATATTTTTCTTATCATATTCTACTAAGTCCTTACATTCTGATCTCTGCCGCTGTAAGTGAAGGGTCGGTAAACTCTCACATGAAACACCAGGTCCTTGCCCGGCTCCAACGGAGACAATGATATCTTATAGTCATTCGACTGAAACAATATTAATATAATTATAATCTTTAAATTTTATAAATGATCTATTAGTTTCTATATTATGAAGTAATAAAATATTTTATATAGGCTTAAGGAACAAAAACATTTATTTTTGTGGTAATAATCACTGAAGAGCTTAAAGCAGTGTATGACAAAGTATAATTCAATGTAGTGCAGACAATGATAATGTAACTATCAAATATTTCATGACTATACATAATAATATCAAGCTGTAAACATGTTAGTTGGAGGAATACCTCATATGAATGTATATAGTAAAAAAAGTCACTTAATATGAACAGTCAGGTGATTCTGATACCTCATTTGGTGATGGTAGAAGTCTAACAGCTCTGTACTTCATTCTATTGGGATATCGATTCCGAACATCCTTTGTTAATCTCAGCTTCAGTTTCTTTAATATACACAGATTATCACCAGCCCTTGGCTCGGGATCTACTTCCTTGCATGGTAACAAACCTTGAATAGGATAACTAGTTGACATCACTATTTCATTGCCTACTTTCAAGTGTTCTGGACTGAAAATAAAACATTATATATTATAAATTTCTCATGTCAGTATAATTGTACGAATCAACATATTATTCTGTTCAATAATGTCGCACCTGCAAAAGTGTTGTAATTTTTCGTATTCATTATCACTCAAATCAAAGCCAACATATTCCCTCACTCTATTATTTTGTATTTCATCAATGGTATCCTTGGAAGCTGATTTACTAAATATTGGCATGAATTGAAAAGCTATTGGGAGGTTTTTTGATATAATTGGAGGCGTTACGACGTTACCCTTGACTGAATATAATTTGGGTCCTTTATCTTCTCCAAATATGCTGACTTTAGCGTTCCGCTTAAGATTTGGATCTACATAAGAATCCGCTGCTCCAGTAATTAAAACTTCCTTATTCGTATTAAAATCTGAAGATGTACTTTGCGAGGAAACCGGATAACCTTCATTTTCAACATTATCTTTTACGCCTTCGGGTTCATCGTTAGAAATGACACCAGGAGTAGTATCAATTTCCATTTTTTCTTAAAAGTTTTTGTTTAACTTAAATAAAGTTTGCATTTATAATCAATGTAATGTTTTCAAAACAACGAATAAGTATCTATCAAGTCAGAAACCTAAATATTTCAAATAGCTGTCAATGTCAATCCTTTTAATTTAATTTTTTTTTGGTTATGTTCGTTCCGTTTAGAACAGGCAAAGAGAACAAAGCCCATACAGCCATGTCTTTTGTATTTTGTATCTTTAATTATTTTTAACTATCAGGCCGGAGCCATGTCTTATTTCCTTTTTTTTAAAAATTATTAACTTTTTTATATCAGGCCTAAGCCATGTCTTCTTTTAATTTTCTACTTCAAACATTTTTTAATTATAAGGCCGAAGCCATGTCTTTATTTAAAATAATTCTTTTTGTCAAATTCTTTCTTTTTTACATTCCGTCTTTTTTCAATGTGAAGTCCTTGTAATGTCATCTTTAGTACAATGATTAATTTGTCAAAATCGATACAACATAATAACAGTCAAATTCTGAAAATAGCTGAAATAGCTGAAAGCAAATATCTAAAACAAAACGCATATGTACAAATAACAATTAGATTTCATTTATAGTAGAAACAATAAAGCCATAAACTGGCAAGAAGCATTCTTGAATGCTTAGTATTTGCTGAAGGAAGCGCGGGATATCTTTAGCAGTTTTAAAAACACTTAAAAATTGGTCTACAAAGACCATCCTTTGAATACCAAACTGTGGACAATCAAAAAATATATGTTCGAGGGTTTCATCAGCATTATTGCAATATCTACAAGTTGAAGAGTCAAAAACACCAATCCTAAAAAGGTGAGCACCAAAACTACAATGTCCCAGACGCAAACGACAGATTGTGGTATAATACTTTCTATGGCTATAGTCACTACCCCGGGTAAACCAGGGGGAAGAAGAACCTTTTTCTTTATTGTAGCGAACCATTTTCCTTTTACCTTTACCACCTGATGCCACAAGTTGTAAAATTCTTTCTGTAACGTGAGTTTGAAAAGAGATAGAGCGTCTGAATAAGGAATTGGAAAATTTTAAAAGCTATGACTTAATTGATTGTGGGACGGATTTGTAATAAATTTAGCTAAATAGTCTGCATGCTCATTACCATGCACACCAATGTGGGCTGGTGTCCAGAATAGGACTATTTGCTTGTTTTGAGACAGTAGGTGATACAACTCTCTTATTTAATATAGTTAGTTTTTGAATTTAATTGTGGATTTTGTAATGCTGTTAATAAACTTAAACTATCCATTATTATAATCCACTTTTGATGAGTCTGTGTTTGAATGTGCTCCATAGCTGTATACACAGCTCACCAGAGTATATGCTTGTGAGTGGATTCAGCCTATGACCAAATCCACTTTTGACCTGACTTCCTTATACTTTAGAAGACTTTTGATTACAATTTTAATCTGAATAAATTTTGATTCATATAACCCAGAGTAACAAGGCCATACCATGCTAGAAAATATATTATGTTTATTAAAAATTTGTTCTCTTTCAGAAAAACCTTGAAATAAATATGAATTAATATTGACAGTCCTGTTAATAGTGTCCCGCAGTTTAACAAGAAGTGGATGATTACTGACGGAGAGCAACCTTGCAAAAAATTTTGATTGTAAGTATTTAAACCTAAGTGCTAATGGAGGTATATTACATTCCACCTGCATTGGCACTATGGGAGTAGTTTGCATGGCACCCATTATAATACGCAAATATTTGTTTTGTATCTTTACTTATTTATCCACTATAGTTCTTACCCCTGCAAAACAAAAAAAAGCATATTCAAAATGACTCCTTACTAATGATTTATACAATGTTAATAGAATCCTTGGATCAGCACCCCAATATGTGCCTATTAAAGATTTTAAAACATTACAAGCATTTAAAGCTCGAGATTCTAGAATTTCAGCATACTTATTCCATCTAGAATTGTTTGTGAAAATAACACCTAAAAACTTTACAGAGCTCTCTACAGATATTACATTGTTATTGAACAAATTTTTACATTCCTATTTTTAATTCCATTTTTTGAAAAGACAACAACTTTACTTTTTTCATTGCTGACCTCCAGCCCAAGCCTATCAAAATAGTTCTTTAGTCTTTGGAGAGCAACATTGAGGACTGATTGTACATGTAAAAATTAGTATCAGAGCAATAAACAACTAAATCATCTGCAAACTGCAGATAGAAACTTCACACCCCAGAGTTTAATTTAGCTGATGTATGAATAGGATATAAAGCAATGGGCTCAATACACCACCCTGTGATACACCCCTACAAGAATATCTTAGACCAAATAACTGATTGTTAACAAACACCTTTCTGTAGTTCAAAAAATTAAAAATCCAATTTACAACTTATCCAGGTACCTGTAGTAGTAATAATATTTAGGAAAATTTTTTCAGATCTACATTATTGAAAGCCCCTACAATCTCAAGAAAAACACCAACTAGTACTTTATTCTCGGAACGAGCATCGTGGATATCAAGACAGAACTGACGGAGACTCTCACAAGCAGAACGGCCACAACGAAAGCCAAACTGATTGTAAGGTAAAAGATTATTACTTTCTATGTGAAAAATTAATCTCTGTTTTATTAAGTGTTCGAAATTTTTTCCAACACATGAACTCAGTGTAATAGGACGATAAGAATCATCCAAATTAAAGTCTTTGCCAGGTTTTAATATTGGTACCAAACAGTCAGTTTTCCATTCCTCTGGGATAATAGAAGACGTCCATAAACTATTTAATAAACTTAAAACATTCTTTAGGAAAGCCAATCCAGACCACATGAAGAATCTTTTCTTGAGGCTAAAGCAAATTTTAACTATTGCATAGTAAAACAACCGATCATGTATGAATTATCACTGTTTACTCCAAGAACATTATCTATACTTATCTGTTGTGGAACAGTATCCGGTGTGTATTTATATAAAAATGTTTGAACCCAATTGAGGTCAGAAAATAAGTTAGAACTGGGAAAGCTTTTTTTGAATTTTCTTATTTTAGTCCAAATGCGATTTATAGATGTCAAACGATTTATTGATGAGCAGAATTCAGACCAACTTTTACAACGTTCTTCTTTTGAAGTGAGTTTTTAAAGGCTTGTGCGCGTTTGAAATTAATGTAATTTTTACTATTAAGACTAGTTTTTGAAATTAATGTAGGTGTTCTTGCAATCTTCTACTTTTGAACATTTATCATTCCACCAAGGTACTTGACACCTTTTTCTAGGACGGTTATTATTACTATCAGTTGTGTTACGCTTTAAGCTGGGCCCAGAGAATTTGATTGCCAATAGAATAATTGCACAAAACTTTCACTATGAGTCAAGGAGATCACTATTGTCACCTTTAAAGTTCATTAACATTTTATTAACAATTTGTTCATAACTTTACATAACTCAATTTACTAATTTCAGATTGCTGTGAAAAGGAATGTTGTTCAAGGAAATAGAGGGTTCATGTTGATCTCTTACGAGAGTAAATTTTGTGGTAGTTGGCAGATGATACCTGCCTAAAGGGTCCTGATGAACTTGCCAGTCACAAGAAAGAAATAAAGAAGAAGACACCATAATTAAATCTATACTGTTTGGTTTCCAAATATGAGAGCCTATAGTTGTTGGTTGACCGTTATTTAAAAATATTAAGTCATGGTCATCCATGGAATCCATGATAGCTTTGCCCCGAGAATCTATGCGACTACAACCCCAAAAAGTATGACGGGCGTTAAAGTCGCCTGCAATTATCAACGGTTTTGGAATACTGTACAATAAACGATCGAATTTCGCCTTTTCTAGTAAAAACTAATCAAAAAAATGCATTTATGTTTCAATTTAATAACAATTACTACATTTTGTAACGGATCATCATAAAAAGTATCTAGTTTAGAGAAATGTATACTATTTTTAATTAATATTGCTACGCCATTATGATCATTACCGCAGTCATTCCTAATAATGGTATAACAACGTAAATTAAATTGAATATTAGGCTGGAGCCAAGTTTATGAAATAAGAGCTACATGTATTAGAGCAAGAGCCAGGGCCAGCCAGGCATTCGTTAATTTATAGAAGCTGAAAGATTTTCTGTAGATGTACCCAATACAGGTAGTCACGATTGAAATTTGGGTCGCGGTGGCTTTGGCAGGTAACACGTTCTAAAGGTGTTTAAATTCGTCTTTCACTTTCCTCATAGTACAGAATTCAGTTTTAATATATTTTCATTGTAATAATCTTAGAAATCACGCTGTAAATTGCCAAGCACTTAATCGGGTGGCAACCCCAACCAGGCACCCCTAAATTTATAAGTAATTTTATTTGTCCTTTCGTTAAATTATATAAGCTGATTTTTGTGTATGTTACTGAGGCAAGTATTAAATTATATTTACTCAGTAGCCAGGCAGTTTCGATGGTGCTTTTACCTTCCCAGGCACACTGAAAGTCTTCCGTAAGTGCGAGAGCGAGGAACATATCGTCGATGAAGTTACGAATGAATAGGTTCATGTTTACATTTTATAGGTATTTAAGTAGTTACTTAAAAGACTTTAGTTACTTAGGACAAATTTTTCTCGTTAAATGCTTTTTCGAATGTAAACATAAGTTTACCTAGGTTTCACGCAATCTCTGGTTGCGATTATAATCCTGCGTTCTTCAGGAATTAAGGTAAACTAAAACCGTACAAATTACTAAAAAAATTTGAAGAGTACCAGCAAACTTTCATGAAGTTCGGTGACAGCAAATTAATAGAAAATATTGATGAACAACAAAACGTGTTCAATATTGTTCAGGAATTTATATGCAAGGTATACAATGTCGGTATAGTATAACTGATGTCGATACGGCGAGGCTCCAATTGTTCCTTAACACGTATACAGTATCCGACGTTAACGAAGCTTTACCGCCTTGTAAAAGTGAGCTATTACAGCAATTTCTGCGAGCGAATTATATTTGTACCATTTGGAACAATGTTCACCTGAAAAA